GTGTTAAATTATTGCTTATGGCAAGAAAATCAAACAAGTGGCCAGTTTTTAAAAGGTTGTTAATCTCAAAATGTGTTCAATTCACCAATATGTTTCTCAAGTTTGCAAAACCCTGCATAGATGGCAAAAGTGTTGCAGCAGGGTGCAAGAAATTTGCTGGTTCCATTGGGGTTTGATTCTGCCCGGTTGTGATGCGACATTATGGTACTACTTTCCTTCAACGCTGCTCTATTCACAACTACATCTTTCACGCCACTGCCAGGAGTGCCAGTCTCACCCAAACCCATCAGCTGCTTTCATTGAGTGACTTCAATTGCAATGCTTTGATGGTAAAAAAATTGTGTGTTAAAGATGCAAATGCATGCATGAAAGCAATTGTTGATGAAATAGAAGCTAGATCATTGGGTGCATACCTGGGAGGATTATCTTTGAATATAAGTCTTAACAAATAAATTAGCTTCATCTTTGGAGCATTCATGTATCATTTCCTTGAGTGATGTGTTTAGATTGCTTGATTTTATTTTATTTTATATGCATTCTGGCTGCTGATTATGTGACATACATTGGTCCTTTGATGAATTTTTGTCAAATTTTCATTAGAGATCTTGAAGATCATGTTGATGACATGCGTACATATATATATATATATATATATATATATATATTCATATACTGTATAGTATTAATCAAGTGGTATATGATTTCATTCATGAAGCAAATTTATTATCAAAGCAGAGCAACACGGAATCGTAAATTGCAATAGTTGAGAGAAAGCAGGGGTGATCAAAATATTGTTTAATTTCTGAAGAAACATCTGAATATTAAAATAATTATATGTCAGAATTATAATAAGTATAAAAACAAAACATTGAAGTGCAAACTTACAGACCTTTGAAACCAATCAAGATTTTTTGTAATTTTCATGAATATTCTTCATTTTTTTCATTCAGGGATATATTCAGGGAATTACTTCAGAGAATTCAGGGAATTACTTAATTTTTCAAAGGTATATAAAATGGTACTACATACATATAGCCATAAATACGTCACATTATTTCACACTCACACTAAATTTCAATCAGCCTTCTTTCCCCACAAGCCAACATCACCTGATGCCTTCTATGAAACTTAGTGAGCATTGTGCTGGTGAACTAGAACTTCAAACAAACTCATCAGTAAAGTAATAAGGTATTTTTCAAAGTGACATCTATCCTACAAGAGGATAACTATAATTATGCACACCTGGCACAATTTACAGGAGCCGCCATGTTACAAAAAATTTACATCTGTGGCTCCCTCTGGCTCCCAAGTTTATAAAGTCTCCAGCATGGCCATGATGGTCATTAGGGTTCCTCATGGCCTGAAATCACCCACACCCCATTTTTTTGTTGGGCTTTGTTAATTTGGAAATTCTTCATTAAATTCTTTCCTACACATTCTTCAGCAATAAATACACTATAAATGAGCATAGATTTCACGCATTGACATAATGCACTGAAAAACTACTTTGATGTGTGGTGGAATGTTGCATGAGTCAAAATGTATTCTTTTTAACATTCCTATTATTGGCTTTTTGTTCAAACAATAGTCTTAAGAACTTCTATCCTTTCAATAATACAGGCAGTGCCATATAATTGATAATGTCTCCTCAATACTAAATTTTTAAAACCTATAGCTGCTATTGCTGCACACTCTTGTCCATCTCAACCCATTAAACCTGATTTTCAAGCACTTCCAAAGCTATAATGCCTTGCTCCAAGTTGAAACCACATTTATGTTTCACATTTGGGAAACCTACAGAACAACCCATCTTATCATTTTACAAATGTATGGACAAATAATTTTTTCTTTGTACTATTAGTTAATTTCTATAGTTGGTATACTTGCTACACTCCTTCCTGCATAAGGGATGTATTCCCGATTCTTGAAGTCACTCATGCACAACCATGGGAGAGAGAGTGTTGGGTGCCGGGCGTGAGGGGATGGGGGGCTCAGGGGAGAGGAGTTCTGACGGCGTGCGATCCAGCTCCGGCGAGAATGTGCCTCACCGAGAAACTACACCACCAGCATGAAAGAGATAGCCCTGAATGAAGTGGCGTTGAGTGGAAGTTGTACCATAACGTCGCATCACAGCCTTACTGAATGTCCAGGCACTGAGGAAGTCTGCTTTATTCACATGCTTTTTTAACACAGATGTATGGCACGCCAGCGGAAAGAAAGAGACAGTACTTTACTGTACATTTATATTGAGTGAAAGAAGTTGAAGCATGGGTGTGTGTATCTGCTGTTTCTGTGTCCTCAAAAACCTTTTTACAGTCGCATGCGGGCAACGCGTGCTAGGGAGTCACTGACCTCGTTCCCTACTTCGTGGAGCGCGCGTGGTTATCGTGCACCGGCCCTTGAAAGTGGAATCCTCAACCCTCCAGAAATATTTTGAGGATACTGTACCTATAGTTTAGACAGCCCACGCGCAGCGTTCATGAAGTTTCATCGCTTGCATTCTATAAACGTTTTCCTAATTAGTCCCACTTCAGCCCCGCCATGGTTTTGGCAACTCGTGCAGAAGCTCGAATGTTTCCCGTTATGCAGTGAATGTTAATTTGAACTTTTGCTTGGATCATAGGCCTGCATTGAAAATCATAGAAAGGTGAAGAACTTAAACATATTCCTGAGGTTGTTGAACCTCCGAATAACGGGAATGGTGAGGACAAATGAGGTGATGCTTCAAAACGAAAGAGGTGAACGGGAAAGAACCAGTTTTTGGGACATGATATTGTAAGATCCAGCGTTGGGCAGCTAGCTTGCAGCGGTATCCTCGCTTCGTGTCCTCCCAGAAGTGCTCCATCATGTTATTTGTGGAGACAGCTTTGTCCGGGTCGTTGCTCCATAAAAATTCACGGGTTACAGAGTCTTACTTCGTATTGGAGTTCCAATGATGTTCCTTCCGTGAAGGGAGTGTGATCGATATTGTACATTGATGGGAACAAAAAATCTTATCGGGAAGGTGATCGTTAGCTGGTCTGTGGGGTCTCATGGAATTATGGAGTACCTTCCGGTACAAGACGAATCACGAATCGAATGCGTGATGTGCATTGTGAACCCGCGTGGCAAGCCCAGGAGGTTCTTTCTGCTGTATCAATCCGAGTGCCCCGGCAACGGTCGAAAAGAACACCGTGACATCGCGAAGCTTGAATCAGGGTCTGGGTGCGTGTATTTACGTGAGATAATAGATGAGACGACAATAGAAAAGCATTCTAAACCAAAAGATACCTCGAAAATAAATTCATTCATCTCCAAATTCTTGGCAGAATGCATTTTTTGTCCCATCTTGAGTTTTTCTCATGTAGACTATGCGGAGCATCTATGTAGAAGTGGATTGAAGTCAATCATTCATTAACCGTGAATGTCCCCGACTCTATTAAATGGTCGAGGCTGCGTTGAAATTATATTTTAAATCTGTAGCGTTTTTACCCGATTGGGGAACTTGCAATTGGTTGTGTATTTATTACAGACAGAGCAATTGTGGGGTCGACTCTGGCCCGACAGCAAGCATGATGCAAAATTTATTTTCAGTCTGCGGTAGTAATGGAGGTATGCATTACCAGAAAGATTCCTCAGAGTAAGGATAACATTGAATATGAACGCTTTGATGATATCAATGTGTTTTTTGTGCATGGTGCTTCTGAGCATCTGTTGTTGAACCAAAAGGGTTCTGCTCCTGTGTTGAAGAGAAATTAAGAGATTTGAGGTAGGCTTGTTTCTTCTCAGTGTCGCGTGAGTGATTGAATGACTCTATGGTGTTTGAAAATTGTTGCTTGTTCCTCTTGTAGAGCGAAGTGAACGCGGAATCGGGTGCCAACATGTTCCGCACATTCACTGATGTAGTCGCACACACCCTGTGCTTCGTGGTGTTCTTTGTCACCTTCATCCCTTCCCTCTTATTCTCAATGCTCTGGAAAATGATCGTTCGCGTTCTGCTTTACTTGGAATACGGCTCCAATGCGGAACTTATGGCGGCTTGTGATGCAGTCAGTGCCCACAAGCCAGCTCCAAGCAAAGAAGGACTCATCAACGCTTTATTTCATATACGTGGCTCCATTCCTTTGAAGGAGATCCGCAGACGGGTCTCTGAGAATCTCGTTTGCGCCCAAACTGTGGATGGGAGAAGTCTTTATCCTCGGCTCATGCGATGTGTGCAGTCCAAGTATGGGCTGTATGTGTGGAATCAGGCTGAAACGTTTGACCTCCACTGGCATGTTGACTACTTCCGGGACGAGGCTGGGACCAAAGTATGTTTTCTTTTCCATGTAGAGTTACATTTAACGCTAACGTCGGTTTTCTTTCGTGACGCGTGAATGGAAGGTGACGTACAAGAACCGTGAAGACCAGTTGGATGTTATTCAGAAGATCATAAATGCGCCGATGTTCGATTCCAAGACGTCTCCATGGCGTGTTCTGCTGGTGAACAAAGAAGATGGTAGTGATTGTATCCTGGTATTGCGGTGTCATCATAGCATGCTGGATGGTGGGGCTGCGTTTATGGTTGTGCTGCCTGCTGTTGCTGACCAGATCAAAGGATCAGATGGCTTTGGCAACATCAAGCCCTCATCCAAGGTTGTGAGGATGCGGAATAAAGTGCTTGGCATGTTGTGTGTGCCCCACATCATCTCCAGGTTTGTTTGTGTGCGTGTGTGTGTTCGGAGAGAGATGCAGTAGTTATAAGAACTTTTGATTAAGTTTATATTTTGTCCTATAATTCTCATCATTAGAGATGCTCAGAGTTCTGCTTTGAATGAAACTCAACAAGAGTCAGAATGGTGGTGGAGTACTGCATTTACTGTGTACCCTACTCAAGTAAGAGTCGCCCCAGGGTTTTCCCGTCAAAATTTGTTATGAAATTTCATCCCCCTGTGAGACGCGCATCCCATTTTTAAGTAAATTATTTTTATAAATTGAACGTGCACTGATCCTGAATTCAACAAACGTTTAATTATTAAAGAATACACTGGAGCCTTGGTTAACGAAAGTGTTCGGTTAACAAACTTGGTTATGAAGAAAAATCCCACAGTTGAAAAACAAAAATTTGGTGAACAAACTTTTTTCCGGGAAAAATTCCAAGATTTTAAAATTCAAAATTCGATTTTAAGGGTGAAAATAAATGGTACAATCCAAGTAAAAATGAATCTTCTGTGCACTAATATGAAAATTCTTCCCTACTGGCGCTCTAAAATAGTTAAATGTGTCAACTTGTGTTTTGAAATTTGTTTTAGCTACATACCTACATGATTCATATACAGTAAGCTTTTGGTGACTGAATTATTTGCTTTTCTGTTCTTGGTTTTTCTTATTGTGAAAGTGTTATTAGCTATATTTGATCTTTAATTGCTGCATTAAACATAAGTATTCTTTTCACATGCCATGTAGCCTACAGTGTGAGTTTCTCTGGATGTAAAGCTTTTTTTAATCTTTGTTTTCATCAGTGCTAATTCAAAATGACACTGTAAAAACATTCTGTGCTCATATAAGATGAAGCAACAACTTATTCTGATTATATTAGATGTTCTTGAATTTTTCCAATTCAGCATTCAATTGCCTTCTGGTTTTACAGAACAGATTGTTGAAGTCTATGGGAAGATCAAACTGGGTTACCAAGATTCAAAATTTGGTCTGGAACCAAATAAGTTTTTTAACCAAGTAAATTAGGTTTTCTAGCCATTGTTAAATTGAATATAATGAAGACTTGAACTTGTGAACTTCTTTTAATGCTGTATAACCTTCCATGACGCGCAAACCTTGTGCTTTCTCAAATTTCCGGAAAAAAAGTGCGCAAGGTACTCGAATAAATACGCGGTAGTACTTCACTTTGAGAGAAGCTGTCGTAGTCCTCTGATCAGTATCCTATTTCCATAAGCTGATGGCTTGTTTGGCTTTTCTTGTATGCAGACAGTTGTGTTTGAGAGACAACAATCCGCTGAGATCAGCAGCAAATGTTGAGGAGCCACCAAGTGGCAAGTGGTGTTACTGGAGTGATCCAATCCCCCTGGCCAAAGTGACGGAAGTGAGGAAGAAGACTAATGTGAGATTCAGCGCAGTGCTCATAACGTGCATTGGAAGGGCTGTGACCAGGTACTTGAAGCTACCTGAAGTGGCCAAGACCTTCAAAGGAAATGCGATGATCTCGGCCTATCAGGCAGTATCCATGTGGACTCCGGAAGATGTCCCTAGCCTGGAAAACAAGATTACTGGGATTGCAACGGGAATCACACCGAATCCCAGCAAGAATGCGTTGGAGCAGCTCTTAGAGGCAAATGAGAACCAGGAACACTGGCTGAGGCAAGAGTTTCTCTGGGGCAGTTACACTTTCAGGTGAGCTTCTGTCTGCTGGTCAACTTTTGAAGAATATTCAACCTTTACGTGCTACATCACTCTGATTTTTTCCCAAATGCAGTCAACATTTTTTCAACCAAATATTTGTTAGAAATTGAAACATTCCTTTTTTGTTGCAAGACAAAAGAAATGGGTTTTAATGAAGTAGCGTATTGTGATTTGTTTACAGCAACCTTACAACAAATACTGTGCCACATGTGATTCCTGAGAAATTTATCATTCCTTGGTTGCTGGGAGGAGTGACAATGTTTGTGAGCTCAGCCATGGGCCCTTCCAATTTCTTCACTGTCAATGGAAATGAAGTCTACAGTTTGACTGGGATCATGCCTCTTCCACCCACTACATGTGAGTTCTTGATTTGTAATAAAAGTTGCTCAAGGAATTGTTTCACAGGATCAGTTCTGTATTCTACGAAAAGAAATTTCACAATATTTGGCAAGCTCTGGAAAACGGAGGAATATCCTGGTATTTTTCTGTTTCATCAGGTCTTGGATTTATTATGCTGAGCTATGGGGACAAGCTAGCTGTGTCTGTGACTGGACGCAAGTATGCGTTTCCTGAGCTAGAAGACCTGAAGAAGCTGGACACCATGCTGCATGAGGAGTTTGACAACGTGCACAACGCCATTGTGGCCCAGGATTAACAGAGTCTTGTGATGAAAAGAGGAAAAGGAAATTAAGTGGATTGTTGTAGGATGTGGAAGGTGCATAAGATGGGGGTGTATATGTAAAGGACTGTGATAAGGAAGCTTTGCGTGTTTGTATCTACGTTTTGTGAACAGGGTACATTTTTTGGATGACAAAAGGGGTGGGTTTAGAATTTAGATGGTAGGAAGAATACAGATGGGGGCTAGGATTGCCACAATTGCAATTAGAATGTGGCTGGGGAAACAATTTTTTTTTATTATTGCTTTATTTCTACTTTGTGGCCCAGGCTTGTTTGTTTCAGTTTTTCATCACGAGAAATCTCTGTACTGTGAACATGAGGAAATGCCAACATCTTTGGCCTCGAAAAAGTTTTTTTTAAACATAATGGACATGAACGGGTTTCTGTTCGTTAGTGAAGTGTTAATGCGGAAATCGAATGACATAGCTACCGTTCCAATTTTCTTAGAATTTTTTTGTCTTCTGATGAATGCGTAGATGGAAAGTTAAAAGGGTGTCAAACGAAGTCATTTTGCATAATTGCAAATTTATCCATTACGGTGAGGAATTGCTTCAATTTTGGGTATGTGTTACCAGCATTCATTAAGGCACACGTAGTCATTCCAAGTTCCAGCCATTTTCAGATTTTTTTTTGTGTTTATGAGTACATTTGAACAAGATTTGATGGGGTCCAACGGAAATAAGTCCAAGCTCTCTTGACTTATTCACCAGAAATGTTGATGCACTTGAGCGAGTTTGCTCACAAATTTGAAAACTTTTTTTCTGTGGTGCTTAGCAACTCATTGGACACCTTTTTTTACGTGCCAAGACTGAAATTCTTCATGAATATTGGATGCAAATCAGTTTTAGGATGAGCTTCTCAATGAAGAGAAGCCTGGTTTCTTCAATTCAGTTGACTAAATCCTCAGTTATATTGGTTGGTGGAACAAGGGACTGCTTTTGCATTTGTGATTGACAATAAGTGGATTAAAAGACATCTCGACGGGACGAAAAACGAGAAAAAAAAGGAATCGGGGTGTTTCCTGGCGCAGGCAAAGTATCGTTTGTCCTGCTTATTGCTGAGTACTTTACTGGAGAATATATACATGGAACTCGTGAGAGTTATTTTAGGATTCAGGCTCGGTGTTACTCTGAAGTGCAATTTTTTTTGTTCAGTGAACTCAAAAATAGTTGAGAATGTATGGAAACTAGTGGTTGAAGTTTTTGGGAACTGTTTGGAAGAAACTTATTTTTCAGCAGCCTGTTATTCTCGTGTTATTTATTTCTTTTGTTCATCGAGTCTCTTTTGTGTCATCTAATTTTGATGCATTTGATTGGAACAGATTGAATAATGGCTGAATATGCATGAATACGAAAGTTTTTGCATCAATCGTGTTTTCCTCTTTTAGTGACATTGCGAGTCCTGCTAACGCTTGTGTCTAGATTATGGAGAAGGAAAGGAGGGAGTTTGTGTAGGAAATGGGAAACCGTCACTATCCCCGCGCGACGAAAGCCCGGGACACGAAAGCCCCGCGCGACAATAGCCCTGACACGAAATCCCCGCCATACCCGCGCACAGCTGTAACGAAAGCCCCGCCCGAACTATTTTTCAGGACTGGTAGTCTTTGGTAGTCGCCGCTGGTTAAACTTCATTACTTTGCTA